ACTCTGAAGATATATTTTTCAGTTTAGTGGTGAGAACAGAACGGTTTTCAGGTGAAAGCAGGGGCAAGAACCCCTGGCTTTCAGTGCCTTAAACTCTAAGATTCCTCATTTCCAGCAGTTGGGTGGGGGCAGAGAATGAAAAAACCAAAAAATCTTAAATCTTAATCTGGAATCCTTTAGAGTTGCAGTGAAGAGCCAGAAAGTATGTTATGAGTAACAGTGTATCAGCGTTGAAATGAAATGTTGAGGAAAGGACAAATATTTATGACTTATATATTTTCAAGCTCAGCAGAAATGAATTTTCAGCTTGGTCTCAGATATCACACTGTAGTTGAGATTATGTATACTGTAAATATCATGTATAGAATATAATGTCTTTCTTAGCTATGTACTTAGGCACTATTTCACTGGCAGCAGAGCATACTTAGAAATATTTTCCATAATGGCAAATTTGAGATTATACTTGACTTGAAATGTGAAATAGTTCAAGACACAATTGCATATCTAAATGGAAAAGCAACTGCAGAAGCATAATATAATATTTATTATAAATTGCATGCAATTTTACAGACACACCATTTCATCTCCAGCAACCAAGCGTATTTCTTCCCACTTACACACCCATTGTTGTACTAGGACAGTGTCTTGTAGTTAGTGAATCTCTTTCATGTGAATGAATAAACTAGGCTTTATAGAGAACTGCAAAATCAGTTGTGTCTTAAAAAGAATGAGAGTCAGATGCCTCTTGTTCTGAATAAATATGCACTTGGCAGGTAACCCAATGGCCTCTAGTTTGATACTGAGTAGTAAAAGATCTGAAAGTCTAATGAAATGTGAAAAAAGTATTTACCTATTTCTTTCTCATTGTCTTTTTTATTGCCTTACAAATATTAATTGAAGCTTGGCTAAAAGTTTCTAGTGAGTGTGAGAGGATAGTCCAGAGGCTGGATCACTGAAATATGAGGGAAATCCTTTTTATGTGCTTCTGTTGGCAGAGGGAAGCCTGTGCACTGAGGAAGCTTTTTGAATTTTGAATCCATTTTTGTTCAGGCAACATTTTTGTTTGCTTTCCAGTCACTAGATTTGGTAACGGCTTGCTTAAGAATGGCCCAATACAGTTTAATTTTCAAAAATTACTACATTGAGAAAAGCAGTCATTCTCAAGAGCAAACACATAATCTCATACACGAAACACACCTTGGATTTTACTCATTTCTCATTGACATAAGGTGTAATTTAGTTGTCTGAAATGGAGTTATTCATGATGTACGTCAGAAAGAGGCCCAGAAAAACTTTTTTTAACCCCCCCCCCCCCCCCCCCACACACACACACATACACACACAAAGCCAAATGACATTTAATTTTTTCACATTCACTCCCCAGTTTTGTTGGACACATCCTCGGTGGCATTATTAAGTGGAGCTTTTCAAACAGATGAAATATGTTACTTACTGTGGCTAAACTGTAATGAAAGAAGAGATGGCTGTTTGCCAGTGAATGGTGTGTAGCTTGTAGAAGCATGTAATTACATAAATCACAAACATATGCAGAAGATGTTTTCTCTTCACATTTAACTGGTGTTGCCTGGAGTTATAGCTGCTTGCAACTCTATTTAATTACCATAATTATTTTAAATGTGTATATCTGGCAATCTTTGAGCTTTATGAGAATGTTAGTCATACCTTATCTGCAAAAATCTAGAGGGTCCCATTCTTCCCCAAGGGGCTGCAGTAACCAGGTTTCTCCAGATTTCAGGCATAGGGCGGCTGCTATGTTTATACCTTTACTTTGATTTCCAGGTTTTTTAAATACCTGAGCCTCTGAAACTAATCAGATCTTGAAATCTCAGTAGACGCTATAATTTCCTGGTAGGAAATTAAGCATTGTTTGTGGGAAAAAAGTATCTGGAGAGGTCCTGATTAGCTTCATTTACCTCTTAATTTGCTGACTATGTAAATGTTGTTTGGCCAAACAGATTGACAAGTGTCTAGAAAAGGTATTCATTGTGTTAAAATGGATACTTTCTGTAGGAAATATAAAAAAAACCTGACAGACTAGTTAGAATTTTCCAGTTAATTTTGTCAAGCAGTGAAACGAGTTAGAGTGAAGCGTTTTTCTAGATTCTCTTTTGCACCAGAGCAAACCCAATTCAAATAGTTGATGCTAATGGAGTTGCCCCAGAAACACTACAGTGTAATGTGAGCTTTTGTTCCTGCTCTCATTTATATCAGTTTTGTGTTGCTTCGTGGCACTTGGTATTGGTTGAGTTACTCATGGCTCAGACCAACAGAAATGGGAGAAGATGTGAGTATTGATATATGGAGGATGACTGGCCAACATAGACACACCTCAGTCTGCCCTCACAAATGTAAAGTGGTGAGAATATCATTCCTGCAGCTGAATCCATTGGACGTGGTGAAACACCCAGGAATAAGAAATCTGATAGCTAAATAACCTCAGAAGGCCGAGCAGTAGGAACCATAAGCAGCTGTCACACACAAATGATGAAGAATTACTGTTAGAGAATTCTTGTGCACTGAAAGACCAAGAAAGGCAGGTTTTGTGAGAAAAAAATCAGTTCAGCTCAGCATTTATAAAAACATATATTTGTGGAGAAATGAGCTCCCCCTGTGTTACAAAAACCAGTCGGTCAAACATCGGAATGTAAAGGTAAGTTGCAAAGGGTTCATATTACACTAAAACAAGAAATAGCTATTATTAGAAAATTTAGAAGTTTATTCCAATAAATCAGGTAAATATAAATAAATACCCAATGGAGAATCAGGCTGAACCAACACACTTCTCTTACCTCATTGAGTGTCAGGAAAATATGGTAATCATTTGCACCTTGTCTCTTTTGTCAACCACTGTAGTTAACCTTGCAAGTGATGCCTCCTTAAGAGCTTTTGTGAGTCACAAGATTGTTTGTCTTTGGTTATAATGTGACATGCCAGCTGTAGATCATACGTGCAGTTTTGTGACATGGCTTAGTCTTTTCTTCCACCACCCAAGAGGCAACATATACAAAGCAGTATTGTCTTGTGTCTTTTGCTGTAATCTCTTGTGGGGAAAAAAAAAAAAAAAAAAAAAAAAGAAAAAGAAAAAAAAAAAGAAGGAAGCCTCTGGAATGCCAGGGAACAATGCACTTTCCACAACAGAGACTGGTTTATTTAATAACCACAAATTATTTCAGGTAATTTGGCACTAATTTAATTGCACCCACAAGAATGTCCTCAACAACAACAACAAAAAAAGAAGTAACAAAAGAACCACCCCCACTACCAACCTCATCAGGATGAAATGAAGGCAGAGTTTCCATTCATTAATCTATGATTAGTCTTGCTAATACCTTGTCTATCAAATCCCCATTCCGTGCTGCAGACACATGGAAGGGAAACATGTATGTGATGTTTTGAATAGGAAGTTGATGGAAAGTGATGTCAGTTGACATCTTTCATTAATCCAAAGAGCAAAATTTCCTAACTTTGAGGAGCAATTAATCTGGAATTTTTGGTAGATTTCATTCTGTTCTACTTCATTTCACACACTTCCAAATCTCTGTATGATTGAAAGATTCTGATGATTGCATTCACCTACCAACTCTGTAGTATCATAATCTATACAGAGAGTGATATATGCCCTGTCAGTAGGTTACAAAGCTCTTTACTGAATAGCAGAAGAATGTGGGAATGGGAAATCCCCCTAGTTTTGCCTCTAGGAAGAATAAATCTTGGTCATTTCAGGTAGTGAAACTGATCATGGACATTTGAAAGATTTTTTTTAAAGCTGATGCTGGCGAGCTGGTGTGAATTCCATTTAATTCAAGTGTTTTGGGTTCTCTCCAGCACAGTGGAAAAATCTCCTTCTAGCCTCCCTGAAATGCTTTTACCTGCAGTTGACCGAAGTTACTGCAATAGGAAGAACAAAGCTCTTTATGAGAAAGCCTTTGTACATCTCCTCATATAAGCAATGTTCACTGTGACTATTTTTACAAGGAGATTTTACCTTTCTATGGACCAGAGGAGAGCCCACAAGTCCAGTTTTCATACAAAGTCCCTGTCTACAAATAAGAAAGGAATTTCATCCAAATTGAGTCAATATGATTATTCCTTGAATCTGAGAATTATTTTGTTTGAACCTGGTCAAAGACTCCTTCAGGTAAAACAAAAAATCTGATTTCAAGACAGAAGGAGACCAGCATCATTGTTCATTATTCTCAGACTACCTACTGTCCATCTTTCCAGCTTTGTGACAACTGGCTATTTTGGCTCTGATCACTGCATTCTCAAAAAAAAGTACCTCAATATTTATTTCCTTTATCTTTGAGTGTGCTGAATGCAATTCCATCTGTTGATATTTTTTTATTCCGTTTCTTTAAAAATTCTTTTTAAATTCCTTTAATTCTTTTAAATTCTTTTAAAATCCTATGCTTTAAAAACCTATTTTTAAAAAAATACTATTAAAATTCCTCTATCTCAGTCAGGTCTTTCAGTGACCAGCTGCATAAATATTGCTGCAATTAAACAGAAATTCTCAAATCTCTAAGTGATAAGAATTTGGTACTACAGACAGTTTCAGCCTGAATTTTATTTGGTTTGTAAAGAATTTTTTTTGTCATTACTGAAATGGTTGCATGATTGAGGGAGAGAGGAGAAAAAAAAAGATTCTGCATGTTAACAATAATAATTAGATGATAAGTGTGAGATGAAACATTACATCAGGAACAACCTAACTTCATTCAAACCCACCAGTTTGTCATAAAGTTTGCAAAACATTTGATCTTCTGTTAAAAATGCGTGGTAAATTCCCCATCTTAAAGTTATACCCACACAATGAGGGGACTTAGTACTTGAGACTTGAAGAGAAAGGGGCTGGATGTGATTACAAATTGAACTGTAATGCAAACTGTGCTCTTTCAGTCAAGTTTTCCAGTGATGGTTGAGGTTGGCTAACAATTTCTTTCCTGTGCACTGCCCTAAGGATCTGTTCTGTTTCTCCAGGGCATCTTGGCAAGAGACTTGAAGATATTTAAAATCCCTAATTAAAGCCAGGTATTTCACTTCACTTTTATTTTTAAAACATGAAAAAAAAATATTGAGCCAAAGTAAAAAACAAATATTTTCCATTTGCCATTCATTACAGATGTCAGACAGCCATAAATATAGAAATGGTCAGCTGCAGGTGTAACCTAGTTCTGTTGTGTAATGCACACTCTGTTCCTATAACATTACTAAAAATGGTCTGTCTGGCTAATAAATAGCACTACCATTACACAGTAAAAGGTGAAAATTAATGTGAATGCTGCTGGTGAGTTAGCTATATTAACAAGCCAATCATGTAGTATTAGCAGTTATAATGGGGAACAACATAAACTTTTAAGAGCTTGTGCAAAAGCTTTCAGTCCTTTCAATGTTAGGAATTTAAAATGAGTGCTGTCCGGTCACTTTATTTCTTTAAATTTGGGAGGAAAGGTATGTAGGAAGTTTTAAAATAAAGTCACTGGCATCTACATCTAAAAATATAAATAAATAAATAAATAAATTGATGGAGTCCAACCCACATCTATCCAACCCACTATTGTTTCAGATGCTCTTCTGGTAAAGCTCTCTTGCCTTCATCAAAGGTTCTGGCCCATGCATGATAACCTTTGATAGCCTACTGATAAAGAACTGATAACCCCTTACTGATAGCAAAATCTTGTCCACACCAGAGCAAGAAGGGAGTGCATTCTGAAATAGCAGTGAGTAAAGGAAGGCAATAAACAAACAAAAGACTAATTGATTTCTTCTACTTAGACATAGAGCTATGTCTGCTCAACAGCTCCTCTGGCCCCAGTCCTCTTGTTGCTCTTGCATACTTTGGGAAAACCTCAAGATCAGACCATATAACCAATGTTTCCTAGCTGGAGCTTCTTTCCAGATTGCGTCAACATTTGAGGGAGTTTCTGAAATAGATGTATCTTGGCCATTATGGGTAATACCCAGTAACAGATCTACCATCTCCAAATTGCCTAATCCTTCTCTGAATCCAATTTGGTCTCCAGTATCAGTGAGTACTACAATTTAATTGTGTGCTCAGTGAAATGCAGTGTGCTGAGAGTTACAGCCTTAGCCAGGGGGTTCATAGGTCCCACTTGTATGTCCTGAGAGACTTGCTATTGTGTGTAGTCCTAGGATGTCTTCCTCAGTATCCTGCACATCTGGGTAGAAACCACATGCAGTGGCCCAAGATGATAAGTAGGATGATGGGAATCTGCCTGATTAGTAACATATTTTGTGGGTTGCTTATATTTGAGTTAAATGTGCTAATTCTCCCTCTGTCTCTTTCTCCCATTCTTTTAATTTTATTCTTGGCTGCAGAAAAGTCACTAAAGAAAAATGTACCTTGAAAGGCAACTTGTTATGCTTGGCAATGCTTTATTATGTTGCTGTGCCTCTGCACCATATTTGATCTGAACTTGCTTCTAGTAGTCAGGAGATAAGTAGGAGATAAGAAGAGTAGAAAGAAAATTAATTGGAAATATTCCTATTTCATCTATTGGCTGTTAACACACATCAGAGGGTAAAAACTAAAAGACAAATGTCTATCAACTTAAAAAAGCAAGTCTGCTCTCAAATCTAGTGCTATGAGCTCCTGTGGAAAACTCCCCAATGACATTCCTAACTTGCCTGAACAAGAGTGGAAGAATTGATAGTCATTTTATTCTGCTCCATTCTTCTGAAATTATTGCAGTAAAAATTTTGTATCTCCCAAAGTCAAGTGCCTATGAATTTGTCCTGCAATTGCATTTTTAATTGCAGTTTATCAGTACTGTGATTGGATGCATGTTGTGGTGAAGAGGAGAAGGAGGAGGGAATTGAAGTATTACTTATTTGTAAAGTGATGTTAAATTCTGGTCTCAGACAAGTTAATGTCAAAGTTGGAAATTAGTGGAAGCTGATTAAACCCTAAAAATGTGTTGTTGTTGTTTGTGACTAACAAGCAAACAGGCAACTTCAAAAAATTTCTCCAGTCCCTCACAGCAGCTTAGAACTGCTTTGGTTGGGAGCGTTGCTGCCCAAGAACTATCCACTGGTTTTCAAGTGTGGGGCTGGAAGACATGGTTGCAGGTCAGGAACAGGCACCCAGCAAGGCAGTTCCTCTTTTCCCCCAAGTGTGTGTTCACATGGGGTGTGATCCTTCCTGTCTTTAAACAAGTGGAGGAGGCAGCAGTGCCATTTTTCATGCCAGGCGCAGCACTCGCTAAGGAAGGCACTCTAATGCAAATCAGAATTTGCTGTTGCTGGGTTTAACACCTGGTTTGGGAAATGGCTGTGATTTAACAAGCCAGCTCCACTAAACCAGACAAAACTGCCCTTGGTGGTCTCTGCTTTGAGTTGCAGTTGAAAGCTATTGAATTTCCATGGTTACATTTAGTATGCTCCCCTAGTGAAACCCAGGTGAAATGCTGCTGCCAGGAGGTATCACCTGGGAAAGAAAGGACAGGTTACACAAGGAGACAGGCTTAGAAGCAGCCCAGAGGGCGAGAGCCCATATGAACTGCTGCTTGTTGAATTATCTTCTCTGATGCCTGAGGTGATGTGGACATCTTTCAAGAAAGCAGACTGCAGGGAAATGCCTTCTTGATTTTGCAGTGCTAATGCTACCCTGAGTGAAAACATTTGATGGTTACCCATTCCTGCTCAAAACACAAGTATCTGTGAAATATCACTGAAGAGAACGACACAGAACCGAAACAGCTTTTGGCACTGCAAAAGATGAAGAGGGCGTATCAAGGGTGCAGTAGTGATTCTCTGCCTCCTCTTTTATTCTGGCATTTGTAGCAGTCACAGAAACAATTTACTGTTCTATTTAGGGAGGAAATAGCTATAAATCATAGCTAAGGTAGTTCATAATTCCTATAAAACGTACTTAAGAGTTATCAGTGTCCTAAATAAATTTCCACTCTAGACACTGTATGCCACAAATGGTGGGTCCAAATTCAGTCTTCAGTTTTAATTGAACTGGCAAGGAAACACCCCAGAGAAAACAACATTGTTCTATCTGTATGAATTATAAGGTGTTTTCAGGATACTTTAAGAAATAGCTGCTGGCTCAAAAATAAACACAAGAATTGTTGCTAAGTTGGAAAGATGGCTTTTTCAAAAAACCTGTCTTAGACAATATCTACGTGACTAGTGAGCTAATCTAGTATTTTTCATTGACATGTCATCTCCACATTCTTCATCTTTCCACTAACTTTTCACTGTCTTTTTCCTCCAGGGGAAGAGCAGGAATTTTACCTAGTTTGCCGCAGAGGAAAAATGAAGAAGTTAATCAAAATATCATTTGCTAAAAAACATTACTGAACATAGAAATGGAAAATAGGAAAGTGGGAAAGAGATAGGGCCACTTAAAAATCAGAGAGGAAGAAAAAGGAGTGATAGGTAAAATTAAAGGACAGGTCATGGTGAGAGTTGATATGCGGGTAAAATGTAGTAGCAATAAAAAGAAGATTGTGAGAAAAAGTAGTAACAAAGAGAAAGAGATGTAAATATAATCATAGGCAGAAAATAAAGAGAAAATAAAAGAATATAAAATACAATAATAACAGGAGATGGAAGGAGAGCTAGACAGGAAACAGGAAAATAAGGGAAGGAAAAAAGAGAGTTGTATTTAATTAACACATGTTGCTACCTTTTGTCAGAGGGAAGCTGGTACAGGGCAGCCAGGCCAGCTAGAGCTACAGCGTGGAGATTTAGAGGGGCAATGCCTTTATTCCTCTGATTTTTCCTTCAAGCTTTTTTAGCCAGGACGAGCATAGTGAGAGCCAAAGGAGAATGTTTAAAACATGTGATGTGTGTTTGAAAGGGAAATGCAGATACTAGCAGCAGCCCCTCCTGAGGAGGTCCCCGTTAAGCATGGCAGGCATGGTATAGGACTGACATCCCTAAATTGTTCTGAACTCTAACCTCTGCTTCCAGCAGTTGCAGTGTTTACCCTTACTGTGGTGTCTTTTATAGGGAAAAAAAAAAAAAAAAAGGCCAGCTGGGGTTGTTGGGCTGCTTTGTAGGGCTGCAGAGGGTTACAAACAATCCTAATACTCCACGCTCTGGCTTTGCTGGGGAGACCCATCTCTGTGGTGACAAGGTGTCTGGTCCGTGTGACCCAGACAGCAAGCAGACAGGTGTGGGAAGCCACTGGATAATGGACTCTATTCCCTCCCTTTTAAAGCTCATATTTTCATGACAGAAGTCTAATATTGGTGTGGTCATTGCTTCAAAGTTTTTCTGTAGGCAGTTTTAATAAGTAATATTTTATAATGTGAATTGCCAGCTCTTTAATGAGCGTGAGCTGGTGAGCAAATTTTGTGCTGAAATGTGTAACAGTAACACTCTTGCCCTGGAGTGGAGCCACCAGGAACAAATCCTGGCCAGGTTTTGCTGAGCATTAGTTACCTTTGACGTCCAAGGGGCAGTAGCCAGAAGAAGGTTAGTTTTTATGGGTTTAAATGAAAAGATCTGGTTTTATCATCCATCAAGTTTGAGAGTCTTACACCTTTTTTTTTAAATTTTTTTTTACTTTCAAGGCTCAGAAGACAGGCTCACAGGTCCCTGCTCCAGGCTAGAGCAGCCAGTGGAAGCACCAACACCAGTATCACAAAGGTAAGTGCTGCTAATGGTAGGTGAAGCCTCCTGATCAGCAGAGGGGAAATCCATAGGACACTGGAACCTCTTCTTCCTGAAGCCAAGAGGAAATCTCCATCCACAGCATCTGAAATATTTCTGACATGCAACCCAAACATAATAGAGGTGTGAAGACCAGAATGGGAAACATCTACCACAGCTCTGACAGCCAAAGCAAACAGAAAACAGCTGAGTAGTTATGGCTTCAAAATAGCCTGTTTCTCAGTCCATTTTGTGTTTCACTGGCATCCTCACAGACACTGGCCCACATACTTAGAAAACCCCAAATGGATTTTGAAATTAGGAAAAGAAGAAAAAAACCCAAAAATTCTGTGGGTCAGAGATGACTGGCCATAGATTCTCAACATGTTTTGTTTTTCTTGTTGCTTTTCTCTGTGTTTGATTTGGGAGGAGGAGTTGATTTTTGTTTCAACATTTCCTGCTCTTTTCTTTCTTCAACTTTTCCAAAGTACCAAAAAAAATCAGATTATCAATTTTGTTCTACTCTTATTTTATAAACCACTGCGAGAAGCTGTAAAATTAAATATTTTTTTTTCTTTCTAATTTAATGCTAAAAGAGAAAATATCCAGAATTGATGTGGGAAACAATGTGGTTTTTCCAGTAGTCACATAATCATCAGAGAGACTATTACTGATGCTTGATTAAATAGCTCAAATTTACAGTGATTTTTATGAGAAAATCTAGACAACAAATGGATTCTTTACTACTGTCTCAATATTTTTATCAGTAAACTCTTTGCTGCATTTACATCTTGAAAAAAAAAGAAAAGAAAAAAGTTGAAGTGAAGCTTGTTGCATTAATCTAGAACAGCAGAGAGATGATGCTTTTGAATTTGTCTACTCTTTTGAATAACAAACTGAAGAGTGTTCTGCTTGGCAGCCAGGTACACATCTCCCAAAATCTACCCATTTGCTCATTATTGCCAAGAACTGAATGCATTAGCAAGGAAAAAGTGGTCTCTCCCAGAAGGACTGGCAGTGCAAACACCCCAGACCCTACCTTCTCTCCCCTATCTGCCCACATCTGCAGACCCGTGCAGGGACATACCTGGCTGCTCACATTTTGTTAGAGACCCTGCTACAGGGAAGCCACTTTGCCTAAAAATGACTTTTCAAATAATTCAGGTATCTCATTTTTTGCGTTATCAATTTAACTCCAAGTTCAAAGGTTGCTGTGCACAGAAGCCTCTGAAAATAGACTTATTTAAATTATTATTTAAATTATTTATTATTATTTATTTAAATATTATTTATCTCACTGCATTTATTCAACCAAGAAAAGCATCCAGATTGCATTTGGGTGCAGATTTGGAAATATGAAGTTTTCTTCAACTTGATTTTGCTTGGCTAAACTTAATAGAATCATGCAGATTCCCCTAAGTTAGTGGAGTTTAAAAATCATGCTTTGCTTTAAGTTCTCTGATTTCTCAGCCACAACCCTTTCTGGTGCATTCTGGCATCTCAAACCAGCAAGTACTGAACACTGTGGGGCTGACCCAGAGAAGCATTCCTGTAAAAGTTTGATTTCAGGTCTTGTTGAGCACCAGTTCCTGAAAACATAAAGCCGATCACACATCTGACTGCTTTATTGGATCCAGACCAGGGCACAAGGGCTCGGAGAGGGCCATGTCCGTGCTGTGGTGACAAACATCTGCACCTGGTGATGAGGCTGGCTCCCCTCCAGGCTCCATGCTGCACTTGGCTATTTTAGGACAGGTTAGGTACCAGAGCTGGGTGGAGAGGGATGGTTTATTATGTGAAAAAAGGTCAGAAGTTTGCCTGCTTGCTCAAACCAGCCAAATCTGGTTTTAATCTATGAAAACACACCAAAACACCCTCTCTGAGAAAAAGGTATGTTGTGTTTTCCTGACCACCGTTTTCCCTGGTGGCAAGTTTCTCATTCAAAATTATATCCACAGCTTTGTTTATGGGACTTTATAGAAGGCTTTGTATGGGTTAGAAAGGGGAGGGAATACTCCCATACGCAGAAACACAGAACCCATTAAAGCACAAGAGGCTCTGTTGGTTCCCCTCCCCAGCTGCTACTAAGTTTATTTGCAGGCTGCAGATCGGGCCTGTGGCCCATGTGCAGCACATATGTGGGAATTAATTTCCAGCACAGCCGCAGGACTGTGGGTCCGGCAGACCCTCCCCATGCCCCCTCCACGCTGCCTCCATGGGAGCCAGAGCAGCATCGAGTGCCTCAGCGTCACGGGGCACCGCCGGCATTCCCGTCCTCCTGCCGCAGCCGTGGGGCTCAACAGCACGGGGAGCCTCGTGTGGGCCCCCTTGCCAGTCCGGAGCAAAGCTGGCAGCACGGCGGAGCCTGGGGCGGCGGTCAGGGAGGGCGAGGCTGGGCTGGGCTGTGCCGCCATCTCCCGCAGGCGCGGGGCCTGTCCCCTCTGCGGCCGCGGCCCTCACGCTCTGCTCGGCGGCGTCGGCATCGAGAGCTGCTGGGAGCAAGAGCTCTGGGCGGAAATATCAAAGGCCCATGTTGAAACTCAGACAGGGAAAGGGGATGGGATTGATTGCTTAAATTAGCTCTCCTTCCCATCTTGTCTTCTGCACAGGAGGAACAAGTTAGTTCCTTTTTTCCTACATCCCGGTAGATGTTGGGAAGGGTTGTCTTGCAGTGGGATGTGCAAAGACATCATCTCTTTTAAACTTCTGCTAAAGGGAAAGGGAAGGAAAAAGAAGAAAAGTAGGGGAAAGGAGAGCTGATTGTAACTGCAATCAAAAAGCATTTGTGAGGGGCTCATCCTGAGAAGAAAAGACCTAAGATTTAGGGGGCTCTTAACTCATTTGCAGATATACGAATAAGCATTACAAAAAAAAGCAGTGATTCCATTACTAAAGTGAATGAAACTAATGAAGGATACTCTTTTAAAACAAATTATTGTATAGGAAGTATGTGCAGGTCAAATGTCAGCAGATAACCTAACTCTACCCTAAATGTTTTTAGACATTTTAGCAGTTTTTAGATATCCATTTCCACGTGCATCTGTCTGTTGTTCAGCTGAACAACAGGGTCATCTCTGCTCAAAAGCTAAAGTCACATTTAAAGTAAGCAGTGACCTCTGAATAAAAAAATAACAAAATCACATGCAGAATAAGAGGTGTGATGGTGACACTGACTTTAAGCTTCAGGTTTGTTTTGTTCCTAAGTTCCTTAGGGCCTTTTTTGGGTTTTTTTGGGGGTTTTTTTTGTTGGGTTTTTTTTTAATAGAAGTAGGGGATTTTTTTCATATCAATTAATTGTCTCTCAAGAATTTCGACCAATAATTTCTTTCAGTAAAATTCAAAGTATCTAGAAGCACTAAATTTGGCAAAAGTGTTTTGCTTTCCTTAAACCCATGCAGAGATACTGAGGTCCAGTTCATGGCTGTGGGAACTGCTGCTGTGGCCCCACATACCACAGCATTATCCTGGGAGGCGTAAGCCCCTCTCCCACTGCTGTCTCATCATGTTGGTATCCTAAAGAGAACTCCACAGACTCCCATTTAAAACTCCCAGATGTGGACAATGGGATGTGGTAGCTGCTGGGGACATCAGTTGCTGTTTCAGGCTGCTACAGAGAGGAGTGGGGCTTTCCAAGGTGCCAAAAGGGCTTGCTGGGAGCTCCCCTCCCTCCCTCCCTCCCTCCTGCCTCCAGCTCGGTGGTTTCCCTACCACTCCCAGCTCCTCCTCAGTTGCACCTCACCAGTTTTTCTCACCTCCTTAAAAGAGAAGAACTAAGTATTTATTTAGGATGTGTAGTTTTCCGAAATAGATGAAAAGGGAATGGTTTACCTTGGAGTCTGGGAGTTTGGCCTGTAAATAACTATCTGTAATACCTGTCCCCTTTGCTGTAATAAACCAAAGTTTAGTCCTCTGGTCTTCAGAGAGAAAACCCTCATTCACTCTGCTATTAGCCACCACCTAATTTATTTCTTTTCCATGGCTATTAGTATTGAATCAAAGTTTGTTTCTGAGGCTGAGAGGAAAGATGGTTTTAGTATTGGCTCTAATAATGTATTTTACCTCAAGCCACTGACACAAACAATTATTTGCTCAAGGATCACCAGAGAAGTGGTTGAAAAGCACCTAAAGATTTTATTTGGAACTTGATTTGTGTTGATGTTCAAGAATTCATCCTTTTATCAGAAGAAGGAAAGCCTTAAAATACTGATTTGAAAATAACACAGGCAAAGGCTTTCTTGTGGTATTTGCAAAAAATTTTGGTCAGGCAAAAATTCCAGGGAAGCTGACTTCCCCTTGTAATTGTAACACTTCTCTGCTAAATTTGGGAATGAAAAGCAAAAGAAACAAATTTTTTAGTTTTTCATTCAAAATGATCCAAAGCTAAGTAATTTGACTTTCTATTCACTATAGAGGAAAGTGCTATTAAGGTCTAGAGTTCAGCCCAACCATAACTTCTGTGACAGCTGCAGGTTTGTTTCTAGGATTCCACCTCAAGTAAATACCTGCTATTTGTATGAATGTTTTGTAGAGATGATGGAGTCAAAATGACTGCTTTGCTGCTGCTGTATGTACCTTGGAGCTGGATTTTTCTGTGAAGTCTGTAGAAGCTTGTTACCATGTTAAATGCCCAGCTTTCACTAAATCCACACCTGAAGGGTAAGTAAACGAATCCTGAATTTCACATTTGAAGGTATGTGTGCTTTTCATGGATTTATGCCAGCTAGATTTTAGATTTAAAGAAACATTGTCATAACTTTAACCACACTGTGGCTAGGCCAGACCTCAAAGATCTTGTTCCTAGGGCCACTGCCCTTTGAAGTGGCACCACTGACAATTTTAGCTACTGTAGGTATTTATGAGGTACAAAATTATAAAGTAAACAGGCATAAAATGTTATTTTAACAGCATACAAGCATCACCAAGCTGATTATATTCTTGTGTTCCAACCATTGGTTTACTCAATTTGATTTTTGTTTTCTCTCATCTCTTTCTTCCTTTTCTGTTCTTTTTTTTTCTATATGAACCTGTCCTGAAAAAACATAGAATATTTGCCAACTGCAATAGGAAATCTCTAACAGCTCAGATATGTTTACTATGAATTGAACTCACAGCTCTTAAGTAGTACTGTGTGTTTAGCCTGTTTACTCCCCAAAGTAGTTGGAGAATTATCTGTGCATTTTCCACATTGTTTTCAGTGTGCTGCTTTGTTTGATGGTGGTTTATTAATGATATTGTGATTTATTACTGTCACTTTATTAGATTATTTGCAAATCGGTGACAAAGCACTATGTGGATCATGCCTTGTTAGTCATAAAAGCACTCAAGAAGCCATGAAAATCAGTTAAGCTTGAACCTATTGAATGAAAGAGCATAGTGCTTTCTATTGATCAGTAGCCTTTAGATATGTAATGAATAGTAGTACTTTTGTAGCACTGTCAGATAGTGTTTTCCTTTGCATCTGATAAATTACACTCTTTTGTGCTAGTGGTTTGAGATTTGTCATAAAACATTCTTGTACTAGTATTTCTTTCAGCACTAGTACTTGGGTGATCTTACATGACCAAGGCAGGTAAATGTTATAAGAAAAACTGATATTTGCTCTCCCAACACAGTTTTGACTGTTGAGTTAACACTGATCTGACTTTCATATGTGGCAGGAGATTGAGGGCTCGATTGCAAATGATTTGTAGAACATTCTTACGGCCTGTGTGCATGATACATACTGTCTCTCTCATGGGAACACGCATATGCACATTTGGATTGTAGCTAATTTCTTTATAAATACAGATGTATTTCTGAATTTCTTATTGAACAGGCAAATATATAAGATTTTGCATTTGTTGTTGGTTTGAAGTGTACTGTGCTTCTATTTACAATATCAGTACTTGATTTCCTCCTTTCTTTGCAGCTTGTACAGTCCTTTCCCCAAACCTCAGTTGGGTTGTAGGTAAAACGTTACTATATTAATTGGATGAAGTTAAAGGCAGCAGGCCCCAAGTTTTACATCTGTGTAATTCTCTGAAGGATATCCCTATTAATACTAATAGTCAGATGCTTAGGATATTCCTCTGAATTAGAGTAACTTTCTCTTTCCAACCACTCCTCTGCCTTGTAAGAAAAATAATCAGAAGAATGAGCCTATTTTATTAGCAGACTAGGGACGATAAATTTTCAGCAGCCTTTTTCTTTTTTTTTCCTAGATGTTTTCTAATGCTCTTTCATCTCCCTTCACTGTTTGCTCAAGTTATCAGTATTTGAATTAATTCCTCTCAAATGAGCCTGATTTAGTAGCCAAAACCTCTGGGGACTGCTTGGCAGCACAAAAGAACAGTGACAGTAGTTTGAACATCAGCAGTGCCCTGGTGTGTAAAATAAGGAAAAGATTCCATTGAACTCAGTATAAGATTTCTTAGCTGTGTTTGCAGCTACAGGCACCAGGCTTGTCACACTTCCAAAAAGTCACACTTCCATCCAACAATCAGAGGAGAAGAAGTGTTTGGTAAAATCTTTGTCCCAGTGTTTTTCACCTTTCATGCACAAAAGGATTCAGTTCCCTACTCCTCCTAAAGACGGCAGCTATGAAGGCTGAGAACTGAATTTAAAAAATACAAATATCAGTAGAAATACAGTAAGCACGGTTTTCTCTGACTGGAAAGGCTTGGGTACAAAGAAAAGGAAGCTTTTATGGGTCTTTAGTTAATACTATTTTCCAGTCTCTCTGGAACATCTGTTTTGTGACTGACTCTGGAGGCTCCAGTTGTAACAGTTCTCTTCCAGCCAAACACCTCACTGGGTTAACCAGCAGTGACAATTTTTGCACACAAATAACAACTATTTGCTAAGGGGGATGAACTGTGTCCTGTCTGTTGGTTTAGCTACTGAATTCAGGATAGAATGCCTTCAGTTTATATTTTGACATTTAAGTATTTTCATTTACTTCTGAATGAATTAATATAACTAATTCTTATATTAAGCTGATTCAAAAGCTCTCTTGGCAACACTGAAACACAGTGACCCCCTAAACAGTAAATGAAAACATAGCTAAAAAGGCTCAAAGCTTAGTAACATCTGCAGTACATTAAGAAACGTTTGAGAGCTCTAACACATGACCCAAGTGCCAGCATCCTTGCAGAATGTCTTTTACTGCAGCCTGGTTTTGCTCTGGTCTTTCTCAGTGCTGGCTTAAAGGGCAAGTAGTCTCTAAAGACCACATTAATTGACCCAACAGAATAGATTAAGGAGGGGGAAGTGATTACCATCTCAAATCACTAATTTCTATGTAAATTTTTACATTAAATGAATCTAGATCAATGTCTAACTCATTTAATAAATGTTTCTTATTCTAAGAAGGCAACCATAATTAAGTTATAGAATTACAGAAGTCTGGCTGAAAATTTCAAGCTACAAAATATTTTGAGGTTAAAGCAAATAATTTCTTGTGACTGTGTAGCAATTCTGATAAAAAGCTCTCTCTGGCTGCTGTCATAGAAAAAGCAGAGTCACTGCACTTTAAACGTCATCCCATCATTTAAATCTCTAATAATAATTTCATTTTCTGTGGACAATACTGAAATATTGTCAATATCTAGATGAGTCAAATAATGACACCCCCACCCAATCAAGTTTTGATGAAAAAGAAAAGATCACAGTATGACCTGCCATAGAAGCCAGGTAAACTGGGCTGAAAGACAGTTTGATCAGGAAAGCTTTCCATTCATTTGCTTGCAGCTTTAAAGGTATCTGTAATCATATATCCTCACCTACTCAGAAGAATTTCATTTGTGTGACAATTTCAAAGAAAGCATGTGTGTGCAGTCCCTCTCATCTATATGTGACATATTCACATCCCATTTGAAGAGTCAGTCCATCCATGCCATTATTGTTCCTAAATGCAAAGCCTAGAGACAGTGAGGGGCAATAGCAAGCAGTGGATATTATTCTGTTCCTGTTGAGTAAAATCCTAGTCTGTGTCTTATCCTGCAGGAAATAATACAAAAAAAAAAAACCCAAAGGAAAAAAAAAGGCAAAATAAAATCCAAAAAGGAAGAATTTTCCCCTTCTTTTCCTCTATTACATTGTGTCTTTTTATATTCTCACTTGTCTTCCACACCCCAAGTTTAAAATTTATACCTAGTGTTGCGTCTGTCGTTACCTGCTCTGTGTGACTTAGGAGTTTCAGTGAAATTGAAACTCAGAAGGCTTCTTAAATGTGGGAAAGGGCTGACACTGTTGGCAGTGTGACAAGACCTAGCACATTGCTGGGACTTTAATAACAATAAATAGCAGCAAGATTGACAAGGGAGATGCCTGACTTCAACACAGCTCTGTGGCCTATGCAGCATGAACAGTAAAAGCTTCTAATGTAACAGTTTGAGTAGTTGTTAGGAGATCAGTAACAGTCCAGGAAATTTACTTTATGGTTTCTCTCACTGAAAAAGTGCATTTACAGACACATAGCTTAAAAAAAAAGATTTATTACTCAGCATAACCGGATCTGGCACAAAAGTAGTATTTTCTAGTAATGCATTAAATTATAGAGGTAACAAACAGTGTGTTTGATGTGTACCGAATTACTATTCTTAAAGTAAAATACAAGAAAAATTGGGATAGTGCTTCCTGAGAACCAGAAAGATGCACTTCATATTTTATATCTCATATATTTTCTTAGTTCTTGATTTGGGGACAAATGAAGGGTCTGACAGTGTTACACTGGGGTTGGTCAGAGCAAGACTCTCCTAAACTTCTCTTCTGTCTCCCTTACTCTTTGTGATTTATGCAACCTCCTTTTTATTCAGGGGTTTTTCGTCTGCACCAGCTATGGAGAACAACCACCATCTCTAATGATGCCTTTCCTAATGTTATTTTTATTACTATTACTTGCTTGCAGTAATAATGTAAAATGAAAGTAGATTCTTGATTCACTTAGCCTCCACTTCTCCAGGACTAGTCTGAAGAGAAGATTTTTATTGTTGCAGTGAAAATCTTCAGTACCAACTCCATTTGGATAACAAAAGAGGGCAAAAACATGATTGGGGTTGATTTCCTTAAGCAGTTTGGCACAATGCTGATGACAGATCACAAAAACAAAAAAAGCTCACCAATATTCAAGTAGATAACAAACCCACCTTTGTGAAATGGTATTTTCTTTGTATAGCAATGAGAAATAATTCCATCCATAAAACATTTACATGAGATATGAGACTGTAAAAGATCTCTTTAATTTTTCAATCCAGACCTCACTATTATGTTATTCCATGAGTAAAAAAATATGTTTATAGTTCAATTTCTGTATATTCTACATGAACCCATGAAATTTCATCTTAAAAATTAGGGTTACTCTTCTTGTGGTCTGTTCCAGTATCTCACTTTGCTGAAGATTAGATAAAATCCTATTACTTAAGTTTTGTCCCATTGAACACTTTTGTCATATTTTTTATGGTTTTCAACACAGAAAAAGAACCCCTCTGAATACAATGTAGCCATGACACAAAGTAACAATTATGTCCATTAGAAAAAATATTTGTGTTGTTGACATTGGAAAGGAGAGTTCAATCGTCAGACATCCACTCCAGTGTTTTGGGTTAAAACATTCTTTATTAAAAGGAAAACCAGGTTTGAGTTTGCTTTGATTATTTTTGATTTTCTTTCCCAAATAG